GCTTTCTTTATCTTTTCAAAAGAAAAGACCTAGTAAAAATGAAAATTCCAGAAATATTTGTTTTTTAGAATGAGATCAGTTTAAATTTTCCAGTGCATCACAAAACACTTCAAAAAAATTTTTTTAAATCACTAAACTGAACATACCATGTTTAAGAAAATACATGAGAACAACCTGGATTTAGGGGGTTTAGATCAAGTCTTTGAAGTATCTTAAACCTCCTTGAAACATAAAAGACTGTTTATAACTAACAGTTGCTTTGTAGAAGCAATGTTGATGAGATGTTTTAAAATTTTCTTGTAAAATTTTTATTAGAATATGTGGGTAGGGAAAAGGGAGCATCTGTATTGCAAGATGACTTCATAAAATTGATTTATTTAATCTCAGAAATGGGGAACAGGATGCTTACTGAGGAAGAGATTTATCAGTGGCTTGTATACAGGAAGCAAATGAAAATATGAAAAGCTAGATCAACATTAGTGGGCCTAATAATTTCTGAATATTAGTATAAGACAAGTGACACAGCATCTTTAATAGATTTTTATGGGTCTAGATATATTAATAAAACCCAATATCGGTGCATCCAACTTTGAGAGGAAACTATGAGACAATTGAACATATTAAATCTACTGATATATGTTTTTCTGCTAAGTTTTGCTTTTGAAGCATTTAGATCTACGAAGGAAACTTATTTGGAAATAAAGTCTGTGTTAGTATTTGGAGTTACTGACAGGGAAGGTCGTTTTTTCTAAGAGAACCATTTCACTGTCTTGCTGCATTATGTAAATTATTTAACATTTTCTTTGCAACTGATTCGCTTTTAGTTATGTGCTTTTGTAACAGTGATTATTTTGGTCAAGAGTAGGGGAAGAAATAGAGGGAGACTCAACAAAGATATAACCTTCTAAAATGTTGATTTCTCATTTCTCAGCTCTGACTTAGTCTGTTGGTCATTTATTTTGCTAATTACATCTTCTAGGAAAATGTGAATAGAAATTTGTACCACTGCTGAATCCCAAATTAATTTTTAAAAATGTTATATTAGTTTTCATTAGTAAGCTAATTAATAAAGAAGAGACTTCAAAATGTCATTTTATTTATATTCTTAACATATTATATTAACATATGATAAATAAGTATACTTATTGTATACTAATGTATATGAACAGTATTTATTTTTTCTTGTTCTCAGCACAAATACATGATAGACTTTTCAGAGTTGGTGAGGTGACTCTCCTCTCCTGCCTTTTCATCCTCATTCTCTCCAGATTCA